CGTTCCTCGTCGTCCGGAAACACGCACCTTTTACAAACCGTAAACGACGACTGTCCGAGAGACGGAGTTTTCAAGATGATCGGTCATCAGACGATGATTCGGTCGATAAGGCTGGATCGATCGCCGAAATTCCTCACGGAGCCTTTTATCATCCCCCGGTACACCCTTTGATACGATCGCGCAAAGTGCCGTGGCCCCGAGGACGAAGGGCGACGGGCTAGATCGGCAATGCGATCGAGAGAGTCGCACGGGCAGTGTTCTGAGACGGTCCATTAAGGGATCGCAGGTGTACGAGGATGCGTATGGGTGGTGTACGGTCGCCCATACGTGCATGTTGGTCGTTAATAGAGAGAAGGGTGGCGGAAGCGGCGTATCTCTAAGTGGACTAAACTCGGGGGACAAAGAACCCCAAGCAGCCAAAGGCAGCACCAGGCCAGCCTGTGCCTGGCTAATTGGACAGATCGGGTACCTGTCTACCTTTTGACGGCGTAATCCGGCATCCTTTCTAACTCGTCAAATTAACGGGCTATAACAAATCGGCCGGTGTACCTAAGTACTCGCCGAGTCCTTTGATGACCCTTTCGCATAGTCGCGGCGCAAATCCTTCGCGACTTCCTCTTTAAAAGAGGATTCATAGGCCGTGCACGCGGCCAAATTACTCGTACACCCGATTCCAACCTGTCGCGGGTTTAGTCTCTTTCTACTTACTCGAATAGCAGTCGCGTGTTTGCTGCTCGGGAACCCTAACCGCGAGCAACATGGCGATAAGGATAAGTTCCTTGGTCCTCCACGAACGATTAGACGGTGTTGGAATAGAAACGTTGACGAATTTCGCGTAAACGAATACGAGTTTTCGAAAGGGATTACGGCATCGACCTAGAAGATGAAGATCGGACGCGCTCCCTTGTTAAAATGGGTCTGTCACATGGTGGCCGATTGCACTTTACTCCGTTGGATACGATATTCACACGCCCCGCTCGTTTCTCGCGAAAAACTCCGCGGTCCGTTCCTCGAGCTGCCCTTTCAAAGGTGGGCCTCCTTCGTCAATCATCCGCGCAGATTCTTCGTTTCGAGACTCCGGTTATCACTGCAACGTGCTCGTCACTCGTGTCGCCTTATCGGTAACCGGAGCTAGCTCGATACTCTCGGGTATTTGTAAAATAAAGCCTATAACCTCTATCGCGACGAGTTTCACTTTGCCCGCGCTTCAATTTTTACCTTACCAGCTGCTTCCAACTCGACGAAGGTGGTTCGCGGTCCGTTTTTCCAGAATTTAATCGAGTGGTCAGGTTCGCGGCTCGCGGCAGGAGGGATATGAGACGAGGGACGAGTAGTGGTGGCGCGAATAGCGAGAAAGAAAGATCGGAGGATTCTTCTGGATGGGTTGGCTGGATTCTCCTGCAGAGATATCCTGGCGACATTTTAGACGGGTTTGCCAGTGTCGACCGTTCACTTTCAGCGTGGCGAAGACAATGGCCTTGAACTTGGCCGAGTGCTGCGGCGAAGAGTTAAAATCGGCTTGCGTTTAGCCGGATCCCATTATAACAACTCGGAGCCGGCCGTAAGCTTCATGGCTTGGTTCCGCTCACTGTGTCACCGGGCTAAGCCCCGACTTACCTACCTATCCTTGCAAACCGCTCTCTTACCCCTTTTCCTACAGCCTCCCTGTCTATGCCAATTTAATACTCGCATTATACCCTATTGCCACACCTACCGAAACTTGCTCGGAGATCGAGCCGTTACACGGAAGCCACTCGCCATCGAGCACCACGCGTTCCGTGAATTTTCCTTCCTGCGGAACGACCGTGTCTCCTCGGGACACGTTGCAACAGATTTACGCCGAACGATTATCGACCACCTCTTTGTTTTTCAGGAATTTTTACAGTCCACGGACTTTCCATCGATCACGATAGTTGTTTCGATTTCGTCGGGAACGATAAACGATTTCGCAGGCAAGTCGATCCGCGATGACGCGGGAGAAGAAATAT